GTGTATTTTTAAATTTAATTCCTCGTCTTTGTATCCTACTCCCTCCGTCCCATAAAAAATAAATATAGGACTGGATGTAATATATTCTAGTACGATAAATTTGATAATGTATATCTAGATTCATAGTACTAAGATGTGTCACATTCAACACTAGGTTGGTTTTTTATGGGACGGATGGAGTACATATCATTCGGACTCTGTTCTAGATAACTGATCACCAACCGAAAGAATTTGAATTTGTAAGCAGCAGTAAATTAACTGGTCGTAGCTTAAATGATTGGTCTCTGAATCTGAATGCCTGGACGATATCCGATCTGAGGGTAGCGGTTGCTACTACCAAATTCGGCAGCCGTGACAGCTCCGGCGGCGTCACATGCCATCATCACCAACTCCGGCGAGATAGCGGTCGTAGCTAGGAGTAGCTAGCAACAACCATAATGGATCGGACGACGCGTGTGTGTACGGCTCTGCCCTGCTTAAGCTAATCTTGTGCTTCATCGGCAAGAATCTCGATCAGCTCCTGCTGTCTGGGGTGCATTTGCTGCCTGCTGCGGTTGGTAAGCTGTTCTACCTTTTTCCTTTTCTTTTCTTCTTTTCTTTAATATAAGATTACGTATTTCTATTTTTTTTCTTTTGAATAGAAAAGTATAGTGCAGACACAAACGTTTTCACATATACGTGTACGTTTCCTCGATAAATTAACGTACAATATTTCTATTTTTTTAAAGTTACGTAAAAAAGAAAAGGTGAGTGCACCCTCTCACAAGCACGCCACACCAAGCTCACAAGTTCACCTGCTAAATAATTACTGCATATGACGCCGTTGACTTTTTATTCAATGTTTGACCATTCGTCTTATTTAAAAAAATTATGTAATTATCATTTATTTTATTGTGACTTGATTCATCATCAAATATTCTTTAAGCATGATATAAATATTTTCATATTTACACAAAAAATTTGAATAAAATAAATGGTCAAACGTTGGTTAAAAAGTCAACGGCGTCATACATTAAAATACGGAGGGAGTACGTCACAGTGGACTTTACATTAGACCCTTTATTAATTTACTGAAGTTCAATTCATGTCAGAACCTTTTTGATAGATATTTTCGCTTTGGGCACCATTTTAATTTCTTTATCTTCGATTTGCATGATTTCTTTTCCACAACACTGTATCATCTCCGTCTAGACAGAGAACATCGTCGTATATTGGTAGAAACATGATGTAGATACTCTAAATTAACTTACCTGACATGTACAGTTACTAATAGGGACAATTACAAATTTACCACTAGTTTGAATCATTATTACAAAATTGCCATTAGAAAATTACAAAAATGCCACTGAAACTATCATTCGAGTGGCATCCTTGTAATATTAAAAAATCAGTGGCAAATTTACAAATGCCCCCTACTAATATGTTGGCCTGTGGGTAGTGGGGCTCACGTATCAGTGACCACATCCCTCCGTCTGTATGTCAAAGCCTCGAAGGATCTCAATCTAGTGGAGAGACAAGAGGAGCATGGCTAGTGCATAGATCATAGTGGCATATCGAGACTAGATTTGTATATACCAATAAAATTAAAAGGTGGTTCAGGCGAAACAACAAAAATAAGAGAAGGGGCCTGGAATAAATATATACGCTTAGAATACAAAATAAAACTTCGCTAACAAGCGTCCTAAGCTGTAAATGTAATATACTCATCTCAAGATATATATGTTGAATAGGAGGTCATGAATAAACCTGTGTAACTATTAAAATTCTTTTAAAAGCATAGCTTGCATAATTATATATGAGTACAAAATATATGGAATAATTACATGTGCCCCACCGATGGTTCTACAAAAGTATTTTTGTTTATGTTTCTTCCTTTTTCGTTTGACGTGTGTTCACAGATCCAAACAAGCACTTGGATTCCTTATGATTAAAGGCTAGCTGATGCAACCACAACCACTTAGTAACCCTTTTTATAGTGATTACAGAGGTGCGATCGATCGATCGATCGATTTGGTATGCCTCTTACGAGAAAAAGTTTATGCTTGGTAATGTAACAAAAAGTATATTAAGGCTTTGTAGGACGATCAGTAAGCGAAGGATAAGTTAAAAGATACTGTGAGCTAGTTGACATCAATCTCGATCTATATATAATCTTTAATTTGCTCTTCTTTTTAGGTCGGTACTCGCGGTACATACACGTTACACATAATGTTTAACCTGTTTTTATTGGAGCAAGATATTAATCAGTTTTGCTAATTTTTATACTACCTCTATCTTTTTAAATATTTGTTGCTCTATGTTTATTCTAAGTAAAACTTGCTTATATATCTTTGACCATTATCCGTGTAGATTTACAACATGTGATCAATTATATATTTTAAAAGCATTTCTAATGTCAAATCTAGAAATATAAATCTTACGATGTTAAACTAGATGAATGTATAGAAATAGAATGGTTGAAGATTAAAATATTTGACTTGGAATAAGCTACTAATTTGAAATAGAAAGTAAAAAATGCATCTGGCTAGGGCAATTTGGTATACATTATAGATTTCTCATTTGTTTCACTTTGAATCTTCTCTCCACATGCATTGCATGATGATTTTAGATTGCTCTAGAAGGTTAGGTATATACATACGTTTGGTTCATATCCATCGACTCAAAACAACATGTGTTGCCAAGTCTTTTATGGCGATCGAGTACGCCGATAAGATTAGGCAAAAAAACAAAGTTTAATTAGGCAAAAGCTAGCCTACCTTTCTTGCCGTTATGAAGTAGTTATGGAAATGACAAAAAATAGATCACAAGCTAGCTTGATTGGACGCTTAACCGGTACAACGTCCACGCTACGCACGTATAATCTATCGTCGTATGTGACGGGTTGATCACTTCTGAAGTTGAATGTACAACGACCGTACGTATCATTGCACGTCCACGCATACACTCTCTTCGTCCAAAAATATATACTTCTTCTGTTTCACAATGTAAGTTATTCTAGCATTTTTCACATTCATTTTCTACATTCATATTGATATTAATGAATCTAGATAGATATATATTTCTAGATTCATTAACATCACTATGAATATGGAAAATGCTAAAAAGACTTACATTGTGAAACGGAGGGAGTAACACACATTTACTGTTTATATAGCATTTAACTATTCGTCTTATTATTTAGAAATTTAGTATGAATATGTTAAACTATAAGGTAAGAACATAAAAAACGGTAAGAGAAATCACAATAAAATAAATAATATTTATTATTTTTTTCTGAATAAGATGTAATTGAATGCTATGAGAAAGTCAATGGTGTTTTAGAATGAAGGAAATATATCCTAGTATCAGTACTACTGCTCAAGAGGTAGGTAGCATAGTCATATACTCACATGTATAGTGGTGGATATACTACACGTATGTAGTGGTGACCGATGGGATGGATGATGTGTGTAGTGGCTACCTTTTGAGGGATTGAGTGCGAAACATCCTTATTATTATCTTCTCATCCTGATGAGGATCATCAGTCATAGCTCGTGATACTATGTGCAAATGATCCATATAACGTGTGTGTGATGATTGAAAATTGTCATTGTTGTAGGCACAAAATAATCGAAACCAGAAAATATCTTGAAATTGACGATGTTACTAGTTAAGGACACTCATTTAATGTCTAGTTTTATTCTTCGTACCTATCAAAAGGAGGAAAAGAAGTTATTATTCTTGGGAATTTTGGTATGTTTAACGTTGTGTTCGTCGGTGTGAAAAAACTAAATGGGCAATATAAACCTCAAGATGGGCCAGTTCATGTCAAGCCCATTTCTCATGGGCCGCCACAACCATTCCACCCATGATCCATGTCACTCCCTCTCTCCATTCTCCGGTGCCACACGCACGCAAGCAGGCGCCCGGCCGGCGACGGCGCGACGCCGCCGAGATGAGGGTCGCCGGTGATGCGAGCAACCTACCGGGGCGGCGGCTGTCCGGCAGCCGGGGAGGGAGTGGAACCTCTCGAGGTAATCTTCCGAATCCGAATTTGCTCGGTTTTTGTTTTATTTTGTTTTCCTGGGAATAATCATCGATAATATTAGAAAGTGAATATACCCAACCAATATAATCGATATAAAAACGATCAACTGATATAACATTTTCAGCAATCTGCTAACCTGAACTAAACTAGGCTAAACAGTATTCTGAATTTCTGACAGAGTTCTTGCATTCCCCCAAAAAAGGGATAAACTGGCGTAACAAAGTAACAATGCACCAATACAACTCCCTTCAAAGTTCAGACGCTGGACAAAATCCCCCAAAGACGCCATCCATGTTTCATCTGAATCATACATATGGTTTTATACAGCCAATCTAAATAGTTCTAATAATTCTGATTAATACAATACTAGTAATGTCTGAAATAAAATTGACTGAAATACCCTAAATCAATGCCTTTGCATGCCAGAATGCAAAGTTCAATTACACAGGAAGCTCCCAATATTAATTGTCATATCTGAATATATCATACAAACAACAAGGTATGCAAATATTGAACACAAAACATTTGATAAATAAAACAATACATGCATGCTTTTGGTCTTATAGATACTATCTAATTGAACGAAACGGCTTACCGTGCATTACCGCGTGGAGGTCAAAATTTTGAATTCAAAATTTGGAATAAGAATTTATCGTGGTTCACACTCTATTGGGTAAGTAAATAGAATACTGACAGCAAGTTAAACCCTACGGAGGAAGAGTGAGTCCATATTGTCTCATCTACAAAATAAAATCCAGAGAATTTTAAAGTCATTGCAGTCCAGCAGATTACTAAGTTTGGTAAAGATAATCTCAAAGACCTCAACGATAAAGGCCATAAACCAAGATAATTCCATAGTAGAAACTGGAAACAGAGTTCTTACTTGAGTAGAGTAACCATGGATACTAATGAGTCGAGACTCAAAGGCCTTTTTCAAACAGTGGAGTTTCACATGAAACAAATCAAATTATGGTAGATAAAAAAAAGCATTTCATTATAGAGGTAGACTCATTTTGAACACAAATTATCACACAAACAGAAATATTACACAGTCATTTCAAGCGATACAGACTACAAATCCCGAACAAGCGATACAATGATACAGAGAAGCAAAACAGTTTCCTCCAGGGACAACAGTAGTTGCAAAAGCAAATGGACACCACTATTACAGATTGCAGATGGCAACACATTTAGCCATTTATGTGGACAACATACAGAAATAATATGGTTTATCATACAGCATCACTTTTTTTTAGCCTTACTTCTTCAATGATCCCAGTTTATCCCCTAAGGCAGTGCTGCCTTATGTGTTTTAAAGCATTGAGATCTTGACGTGACGAAGGTGCATCAGACTAGAAAGTCTGTCAGGTAAATGGCACATCTTGAACAGAGAACATTCTAACAGACGCAAGGATTTTGAGTTCTTCACGACCTCTGCCATTGCGTATACCACGTCCTCCTCGACATTGCCACAATCTTCAATGATGACTGTGCGCAGCTTCGTCAAACGGAGCAATTCCTTCACATCAACAACAGTGAAATTGTTAATACCTGCAATACTAATGTGTCGAACCGAACTCTTCACGTTTCTCAAGTCTGCGGCTTCAGTTAACCTCTTACATTCGCCCTGTGAGATATATGTTGCAAAATCATGCATTGTGTCATTCATAACATAGTATGCAGGTTCTTCGTTTTCTCCACCAAAGCGATCAAGGAACAAATTTGCAGTCAATTGAGCCAAGTATAACTCTCCGTCCTTTTTCCCGAATTGAGGAAATATCAATCCTGACCAAATCCAAGCCCTCACCAACTCCTCCTTTCTGAATGGATGATTTTTTGGAAATAAGCTGCAATAGCGAAAGCAACTCTGCAACTCTGCCGAGAGCCTGTAGTAGCTTATTTTCAAGACATCCATAATATTTGGTACTGCTGCTCCAAAATTATCCATACCGTGAAGAAACCTTCGCCAGGACTCTAATGATCTTACTCGTAACAGATAAGCAGCACTTTTTATTGCCGCGGGAGTCCCTCCAAGTTTCTTTACAATCTTAGCGCCGATTGATTGGAGTTCCGCATAATCTTCTGATCTTTCATTCAGATCAGCCAAAGCAAGTTGGCAGAAGATCTGTAGATTTCCATTTTCTTCAAGTTCATGCAACCTAAGGTGCTGATCTTCACATCCTGTGACACTCTCAACTAGAGTTGCCACTGATTGCGTTCTGGTTGTCAATAAAATTTTGATTCTAGTGTTGATGCCCCTCAGAACTGAAAATAGTTTCTCCCATTCATGTAGATTTTCTTCCCAGACATCATCCAAAACGAGTAGAAAAGCTTTAGTGGAATTTATTTTATCTTGGAGAATATGCTGCATGTTTTCCAAAGAATCGGATGAACATGGCGAACGTGTAACACACTGTACTATTTCACGCATAATTCTTCCTACATCAAAGCTTGAAGTTACACATAACCATGCAACCATATCAAAATGATCTCTGACCCTTGGATCATTATATACCAGTTGTGCCAATGTAGTCTTCCCCACGCCACCGTGGCCAACTATGGACATAACTGAGACATGATGATTATTTGGACTAACCTGAGTTTCAGCATCATCATCATCCAAGGGATCGATCAGCCATCGGACTATCACATCAGTCTCCTTCTCCCGGCCCAACACTCTATCCTTAAAGCCAGCCGTCATGAAATATCGTTGTGTAAAGTCAACCGTCCTGCGATATAGTTGTAAACGATGTTGATCCAATTGCTCTTGTGTAAGTCTAACATCAGATGGTAGTCTCTTTGCAATATCCACAATAACCATGTCTAAAGCCTCGATAGCTTTCCTCAACCTCCTTTCGAGAGTGCGACCATTTGCCAAAGACTTGATAACTCGTTGCTTCATCTTGGAGAAAGAAGAGCCCAGATCACCATCACTAACCTCTCGCTCCTTGGTCTTCTTCTCGTGGTAGGCATGCTCGTCGACTGCATCCTCGAGCTCCTCAACTGCATCCCTCAGGCGCCACAACGACTCGTCCAGCAAAACCCCAAGTCCTGAGTACGACTCCCTGGATTGAGCCGGTATGAGGGTATCGCGCATCTTCGGCAACTTCAGGCGTAGCATGCGCATCGACTCCTGCAATCTGTCGGGGTTGCTTCCCAGGTAGGATGAGGCCTTGTCGATCAGGTTAGCGATGACTTCATCTGTCGCCGACTGCCCTGCAAACACCAAATCCATGGTGGCGGCCGTAGGATATTAGCGTGTGGGAGCTGGGAGGGGGGAGGGATGGGGTGGAGCTTGGAGGAAGGTGGAGACTGTTAGGTTAGCTGGAGACGGGGGAGGTTAGGATCGATAGCTAGCGGAAGAAAATTAGTATGTAGGACTTCAGTCCTTTGCTCATAGGAAGGACTTGGGTTTGTTCCTAAAGTTTACCAAATATTGCCACACCTCATGTTAGACAAGTTTGACCAAGTTAGCCTCTTGTTTCGTTCATAACCACATAGCAAGATTCCTTCTCATCTGTTATAGCCCCACATGTCATCAACTTGAAAAAGTGTGGCACAATTCTATTTTGATAGCTAAGGTGCGGCTCACTTTTTGTAAGTCACAACTTAGGCAAGTGTGGCATAAAAGTATGGTAAATCATGGCAAACTTAGTATAGCATCCAAACAACCCCGATCTCCTCGCTTACGCGTGTCCCGTACAAATCCCAAAGCAGTCTTCTACCCTAGGATTTTCCCTCTCTTTCTCTCTCTCCAACTCCACGTCCTACCCCAGGTTCTTCTACCCTATTCCTTTAGAGTTTTGCTCCCATCCAGCAGGTACCGTCGGTACTGTCCGGTACCAAATCTCAGCCATTCAATCAGCGAAATCTGACGGTGGAAAATAAGTGGTACCTCCAGGTACAAATTTGTCCATGAGGAGGTACCAGAATATTTCGAGTGGTGGAAGGGTAAATTTGTCTTTTCACGTAGGAGTGTCCATGGGAGGGAAATAGGGTTTTTTACCAAATCTCAGCCATTCCTTCTGATCCGATCCGTGGGAGGCGGCGGCGAGTTGCTTCGTCGGCGACGACTTGCTTCGTGGGAGGAGGCGGTGTGGCGGCGGCGAGGTGCTCCGTGAGAGGCGCGGCGGCAGTGGCGGCGTCTGATCTGTTTGAGGCGGAGTGAGGAAACAAAAAAAGAGCGAAAAGGAGCGGCGCTGCGTGCAAGGAGGAAACAGAGAAAGAGCGAAAAGGAGAAAGCGAGGGCGCGACTCCTTTCTGTATTTCCCGATCGTACCCTTTTAACATGGAGGAATGGATTTATCTCTGTACCTACCGGTACCAGTACCTGCCGGTACAAGTTGCTGGATGGGAGCAACGCTCATTCCTTTAAGAAAAAAAAGGTTCTTCTAGCCCACTCAGTTAGACTCATGATTTTTTAAAAATGATCTTGGATGGAGCCATGCCCTATATCAAAGTTGCAGAGCTTAATTAGATCTATAATTTTATAGTTAAGGACCTTTTTATTTGATGAAATCACTGAAAGAATAATTGAGTACTCTATAGATGAGATGGTAAGAATGCTATATATATATATATATATATATATATATATATATATATATATATATGTATGTAGATAGAGAGGCTATGGCTTCGAATTCTATGCACCACATGCACGTGTATTTCACACGAAAATCCATTAATTTGTTGCTAGTAAAGTGTGACCATGTTATAGATGTCGACTAAAATTCCAAATATTTTTTAGGACTTGCCCGTTACAGACGAGACCCATCTCATCTGAATGTAACAACGAGGTTTTCTTAACACTGACAAATGAGTAGTGATGAAACCTATACCCAATTACTCATAGATATGTATTGTCATCCATAAAAGGTGAGAGGTTTATAATAGAATGACAGCTTTAAGCTGGAATCTTTCTCACAGCAAGGAGAAAAAAAGGACGCATAATTATCACTCCCAAGATCGTCAATAAATAAGCAGAGAAGACATTATATATCCTCAAAGATGAGAGGTTTATGTGAAAGGGCTTGTAGCCTCATGGTTACAAGAGTCTCAATAGCATGGGTTATCGAATTTTCCAGGATTTAACGGCATTGTACTTTCAGTGGTAGGCGAATTTTCCAGGATTTAACGGTATTGTGCTTTCAGTGGTAGGCGACGTATCCGTCGACAGCGAGGCGCCTGTGGTGACTTCGTTAATTTCTCCAGGATTTGCCGGTCCAGTCTTCGAAGATGCTCATAGGGGTAACGAAAAAAAAAATGAGAGGTTTATAATAGTATGCCAGCTTACAAGAGAAAAAAAAGCTGCTTTAAGCTGGAATCTTTCTCACAACAAGAGAAAAAAAAGCTGCTTTAAGCTGGAATCTTTCTCACAACAAGAGAAAAAAAGGACGCATAATTATTATAATAGAATGCCAGCTTTAAGCTGCTTTAAGCTGGAATCTTTCTCACAACAAGAGAAAAAAAGGACGCATAATTATCACTCCCAAGATCGTCAATAAATAAGCAGAGAAGACATTATATATCCTCCCAAAGCTTTTCACATGGCACAGCCTAGAAAAAATCAAAAGGAAAACGTTGTTGTTCATCTAAATTAAGCTGACGGCCCACATGGCCACATGAGCCTAGGAATCACTATATGTTGGAGGTTGGTGTTAAGATTGGTGCTAAGGGACTTGTCGATGTATAGCCCTGTAAAATACTCCCAAACCAACTCTGTTTGTCTCGTGTATTTCTTCCTTGCCGACCAGATCCGGTGACCCCTGCCAACCCCGTGTTCCGGCCGGCGACTTCCAAGATTATGGTCAACAAATTTAGCAGAGGACTTCCACCCTCCCAAAGCTTCCACCAATAAAATATTAAGCATTGAAGGCAAAACCATGAAAAAAAATTATAAAAAACTTGGAGGAAAATATAACAGAACAAAAATCGGCATATGTAATGTACTCTCTCCGTTTCATATTATAAGACTTTCTAGCATTGCCCACACTAATATAGATGTTAATGAATCTAAACACATATATATGTCTGGATTCATTAACATATATATGAATGTAGGCAATGCTAGAAAGTCTTATAATATGAAACGGAGGAAGTAATTCTTTAGATCCACCGATACAAACTATGAGATGATCATATGGAAGTCTTAGGCACCAAAAAAAGTGTAATCGCTGGCGGTTAATTTGCTGAGGTTTTAGCAGCTGTGCTTGTTTGTTGTCTTTATTGTTGTGAAGTTTTTTCTGTAACCTAAGCCTTTTTTGGTTTCGGAGCTGCTGTAAAACTTTCTCTCCTTCTTAATGCAAAACTTGGCCGGTTATCTTTGCCGGCCCGGCGAAAAAAAAGTGTAAGCTTTTCAACTGGCTGTGGTCCAAAACAAAGTATAGTTTGTTTTTTGTGGGATGTGTTTCCGTCTCTTAGACCATATATTGGTGTTGTGTGTGGGTGGGTGGGGCGGTGCTTTCCTGGAGATGGGAGAGTGGTTTTACGTGTGTAGCAGTGTGCACGCGCATGTGTCTATCATGTAATAAAAAAATCAAGTGAATGTTTTGTGTAATCATGTGCGATTTATAGAGACAAACTGTGCTAGCTTCTGTAGAAAGAGGCAACGTTTCACTACTTACGATGCCAACAACGCGGCGAGGAGGTGGTGGCGCGAGGGGAAGGTGGATGTGGCGGTGGCGGCGCGAGGTGACGGGACGACGATGGCAACGACGCGAGGGGGAGGCAGAGGGTTGGGGACTAAAGGGAGGAGGGGAGATGGGCAGTGGCGGCTAGGGTTTGGGGGTGATTGGGGTTAGTGGACGTCATTTTAAGAAAAAACCCTTTTTCTTTCACATTTTACGGTGCGGTCTTGATTCGTGATTTTTCTCTCCTTCGCATGGAAGGATCCGGTTATTATAAGGGCTTGTACGTAAAACACCAGCCTAGGAAACTATTCATGAGGGACCTATATCGAATTACAGACAAAACAGAGCGCTTTTTCACAAAACAACCACCCCAAATGCACTATTCATACTATAGCAAAATCCGACGTGGCACTGCCCCTCGCCCGCCCGTAAAATCCGACGTGGCACCACCCCTGGCCCGCCCCTTCTATGCCCCTTAATAATACCCTATTGTACACCTCCCCCTCAATTTCTTTCCCTCTCTTCGTCTTCGTCTTAATCTCTCTTGCTCCAAGAAAAAAAAACCGTAACATGGAAACCGCTGTACTAGTGTTTGCAGGGAAGTCACTCGCAACCCCTGCAATCTCCTTCTTTGTCAACAAGGCATTCAGCTACCTGAACGAGTACCGCAAGGCTGAAGGATTGGAGGCCGTGAAGAACAGGCTAGAGGAGAACATACCCAAGATCCAATCAGTGATCGATGTCGCTGATCCTGATTACATCAAGGACAAGAGTGAAGCCCTAGATGCATGGCTGTGGCAGCTCAGAGATGCAGTCGAGGAGGCTGAGGATGCCATCGATGAGCTCGAAGTGGAGAGGGATCAAAATAAGGTTAGTCATCAGGCCGGCTCTTCTTCTTTTACACGGATGAAGCATAAATTTGTCCAGTCTGTTAAGCATGTTAGAGTGTTGGGTACGACATCTAATTCCCCTCTCAAGAGGTTAAAGAAAGCCTTGGAAGGTTTAGATGAGGCTGCTAAAGGAGTCAAGAATTTTCTCACACTTGTACAAATTCATCAAAACACAAGATCCAACTTAAACAATCCAGAACAAGATGATATTAGCTTCCGTGCCAAGGGGAAGGACTTAAATGCTGATAGGGTGTTCGGTAGAGAAAATGAGAAGGAACATATTGTTGGATGGCTGACCAATACATCAAGTGAAGATAACCAAGATGCCAAGAACAATAATCATGTCCCCATTATGTCAATAGTTGGCCATGGCGGCATTGGGAAAACCACTTTGGCTCAGCTCATCTCCCATGACTCCAGAATCAAGAAACATTTTGACACCGTGATCTGGGTTGCTGTATCTATGAGCTTTGATGCAAAAACATTGCTTGATAAAATAATTCAGTCTGTTACATTATTAAAACCTAGTGTTGATACCTACGAGGCACTGCAACAGCATTTGAAAAAGGAGATTGAGACCATTAAATATCTTCTAATTTTAGATGATGTCTGGGAAGATAAGGACATCTCTAAGTGGGAAAATCTATTTTCATCTTTGAGAACAGGAGTGTGTGGAAGGAAGATTTTGTTGACAACCCGAATGCAATCAGTTGCAGATTTAGCATCAGCGGTAATGAGATGTGAAAGGGAGTTCTTCCCATTATGTGGACTTGAAGAAGATGAAAATTTAAGACTTTTTAATCATCATGCCTTCATTAATCCAGATCCCCAAGAATTTGAAGACTTCCAACAAGTTGGAGAAGAAATCGCAAAGAAACTAAGAGGGTGTCCCTTGGTAACTAAGGTTGTCGCTGGGCATCTACGGGCACACATGAAAGTTCAATTTTGGAATACATTTTTGCATGAACATCTGGATAATTTTGATGGAAGTATGGAAGATGTTGTCAAAGTTCTCAAGTTAAGTTACTACCATTTGGTACCTGGCCTACAAGTGTGCTTCCGATATTGTAGCATATTCCCAAAAAACCATGAATTCAAAAAAGAAGAATTGGTGAAGATGTGGATAGCTGCAGGATTGATCTCCCAGACCACAGGTGAAGCAGAGAGAGCACAGGATGCTGCAGAAGAGTACTTGGATCTGCTGAATAGAAAGTCCTTCTTTGAACTCAAGTTGAGAAACTTCCGTTTCGGAAGGAACGAATGCCATGAATATTTTGTGATGCATGACTTAATGCATGATTTGGCAACATGGGTTTCTTCAGGTGAATGTGCAAGAATTGCTGATGTTGCTAGCTCCAAGAAGCTGAAACCAACAGTACGCCACCTATCTGTTGCTGGTATTGATGGTTTTCCAGTCGACGCCATCAAAAGTTTGTCCCAGTTCAAAAATCTGCGCACCATTATCATTGAAGATTGCCATGATATCCAGGATGACACTTCACGGGAAGTGGAGAAAGTTATAGAAAGCTTAAAAGCCCTGCGTGTCGTGCAATACCACATGTTCAGTAGATCCCGATTCCCTGGAAAAGAAGCTAATCTAAAGCACCTTCGTTATGTAAGTGTCTCAATGAATTAGTATGTATAAGACCTAAAGCATGCTTGTGTTGTTTTAATTTTCTTTTTCAAATGTTTTGTGTTAAATCGTGAAATACCTTGTTGTTTGTATCGGATATGGCACTATTTGGAAGGCATGCTTGCAGTGTAATAATAAATTCAAACTTTACATTCTGGCATTTGATCTATTTTTGTTTCACCTATTACTAATTACTAGTCATGTACTCCCTCCGTTCCAAAATATAGTAACCTAGGACTAGATGGGACATCACCTATGTATACATCATGTCCCATCTAGTCCTAGGTTGCTATATACTATGTCTAGATACATCGTACTGGTGATGTACCATCTAGTCCTAGGTTGCTATATTTTGGAACGGGGAGAGTATTCATCATGCATGATTGAACTATTTAGATTTAGATTGGCTTCATAAAACAAGGATAGAGTGAAGGCTTTTGTGATGCTGATGAAAACATGGATGGCCCGTCTGAACTTCGGAAGGAGTTGTTTTGTATGCATTGTTAGTTTGGTTGTTTCGGGGATGCAAGAATTATGTCAGAATATTGCTAGGCTACATCAGGTTATATCAGCTGATGGGTAGCTTTCTGTTTTGAGAGATTATGATGTCCTCATTTGATAAGTTGTTCCTCTTGTGTTATATACTCCCTCCGGAGTTTCATGATTTCTGGATGTTTTCGACAAGATTAAAATCAAACTTTTATTACTTTAACTATGAATTAAAAGAGCTAGAACAATGTACATAGAACAATGTACATATATAGATTTACCTTGCAAAGTCAAAGTATTATAATAAAAGTTAAAAAAATAATTTTATTTATTGTATTTATTATAATAGAAAAATATAGTCAATGATATATTTTTATTGACTGTATCATTACCTAAAACATTAAAGAATTATGGAACTAAAGATGATACCCAGTATATACTTACTAATACTTATATTGAGCTTTCAATACATAACCCGCGCAAGCTCTCCTCTCCTCTCATCTCCCTTCTTTTACCCCTCTACTGTATTCGGAGGTGAGGTTGGAAACTCACGATGTATTTTCTTATGATTAATTAAGTATATATTATTTTTTTTTAAAAAATAATATAATTTTTGAAAACAACTTTCGTATATTTTTTTTTCTAAAAGCGTACCATTTAGCAGTTTGAAAAGCATGCGCGTGGAAAATGAGGAGGTGAAGAACAAACGAACACAGTCGTTAGACTAATGAATAAGTCATCTGCAAATTCCATAAAATCATATCCATTTCGGACCGATCCCTCTCCTCTCGGCCTATCTCTTCTCTTCTCTCAGCCAGCCCATAATCGTGCAATACGCACACACTAAGCTAAGGCCCATCCCATGCGTGTCCGAAGGACCGAAGCTGACCAGGCCAATTAAGACACGCCAAATTCGGATTTGGGGAAGATTACCTCGAGGTTCGAGTCACGCCCCGTCGTACTGCCGCTCGCTCACAGTCGCACTGCCCGCCCGCCGCTAGGCGGCTGCCCTTGCCGCTCTTGGCGACGCGGCCCTGTGCCGATCGGCGGCGTCGCCCGTGCCGTCGGCCGCTGCCTGCTTGAGAAGGGGAGTCAAAGGGAGATGGATGGTGGGCCTGATGGTCTCATGGAGCGAAGGGATGGTTGTGGTGGTCCATAGCCCATAGGCAATGGGACTCTGTTGGGCGGAATAAGTACACTTTAGATCTATCTCGAACCGCAATATCAGATATATTATCATGTCCTGAACTTTCAAAACCGGTGCAAACGAGGTCTTAAGATGGTTTGGATGGCGGTTTCGGCTAATATGACTGGTTTGACTTGGTTCTCATCCCACGTGGCACTAGCTAGAAGCAAGATTTAAGAAAACTCTATATACTAATAAAAAAATATGAGTAAATTTCAGAAAACTGCAACTATAATGATAAAACTGATGCTGTAACATTAGCAACATATTTCAGTTTGCTGCAACATTAGCGTGAAAAATTATCACAATACTGCAACTTTTACGTGATATGTTGCTACATGACATGTAGGTGACAACTATAGCAGCATATCACGTAAAAGTTGCAGGTTTGTGATAATTTTTCACACTATTATTGCAACAAACTGAAATAGGCCACTAATGTTGCAGCAAACTGGTAGTTTTATCACTATAGTTACAGTTTTCTGAAATTTACTCAAAAATATGGAAGGATTCTTTTTTTTACTTCATCCGTACGGCACCCTGATCGGTACGCGCCTTTAGCTTGCGCCACCGCCACATTGATTTGTCTCCTCGTAAGTTTTCCCTTCAAATTGATTGTAAAAATCGATACCCTACTCCTCCCTCCTCATTTTCCCAGTAATTTACCCTTTCAATTCAACTTCAATTCATCGAATTTAATCTATAGCCACCGCCTAGGCCGAACCCTAGCGCCACCGCCACATCGATATGCCTCCCCCCATGGGTTTCCTCCCTCCTCCCGATCTGCCTCCCCTATGGGTTTCCTCCCTCCTCCAATAGATTGCAAAAATCAATTTCCCACTCCTCTCTCAGTCATTTTTCTCATGATTTCCCCTTTCAATTTGGTTTTAATTCGTCGGATTTAATCTCAGTTGAACGGCCGTCAATGATGGCCAGGCGGCGAGCTTCCCTCGGCTCTTTTTATCTCGAGTTTTGCGAATTTTCTCCGATTTTAGGGGAAACGGAAAGAGAAGATCGAGTGGATCAAAAGTCCTCAACCAATTTTAATGATCGAGAAAGACACGCTGGATTTGATGGGGAGGATCGTTTGCGGTATCATACGGGCACACGGGATTATCTTCCGGATGTTGAAGACGCTAATGAAGCGTGTGGGGCAGCCAACTGTGCTAGCTGGGCTTGCGGCTCCACTTGTGGACTAGGACGAAGAGTGGCAGGTCGAGCGAAGAAAGGTAGGAGACAGCAAACTGTGCTGGAGCTGAAAAGGAAGAAAATAATGGGGTTTCGGCTCAAAACTATGAGAAGATTTTGATTAATGTTTTCAATTATAGTGTATAGCAATCTATTAACTTATTAAAGGAATAGAAAAAGTAGCCTCCACATTCGCTCTCACGGCCTAGAAATTCTCACATTAATCGAGGAAAAAGAAAAAATAGAGTCCATATAGGAATACAATTTAAAAACTGCTGAAATTCAAAATTATAAATAAGGAATATAGGAAAAGGAAACTAGATTCCATACCGCTATACAATTAGATCTAACTGAAATTTGGAATTTTTTTTAAAAAAAAACTAAAACTATAGGTTAGAGTCCCTATAGAAATATAATTTAAAAATAATTAACATTGGAATTAAAACTAACGAATATTGAAATAAGATTCTATAGCCCATGTATAGCCCATGTAGAGTATAATTTAGAAAAACTGAAATTCGAAATTAAAAATAAAGAATATTAAAAGATGAGTTTAAAGTCCATATAGAAATATAATTAGAAACAACGGAAATTTGGAATTAAAAAAATAGGAATATGGAAAGAAGAGTTTAGAGTTCATATAAGAGTTTAGACCAAATTGAAAGTCAAAATTAAGAAAAAAAAAGTAGAGTTTAGAGTCCATATAGAAATACAATTTATAAATAATTAAAATTCAAAACTAAAAATAAGCAATATTGGGAGAAGAGTGTAGAGGCCATATAGGAATATAATTTAGAAATAAGTAAAATTAGAAATTAGAAAAATATTAAATAACTACCAATACAATACAAAATTTCAAAATTGTGTTGCTATTTTTAATATATTTTAATAATAAAATATAAAAATATTTAATCTATTATATGAGAAAAAAGTATGACGATGCTAGCCGCGCAATCTGCGCAGGCCACCTTGCTAGTTCTAATGATTCAAGTTATTTCTCGGCTCCTAATATCACTATGAAAAACACATTTACCCGTTGTAGCGCACTGGCATTTTTTCTAGTTAAACAAAAATTGTGGAGCACATGCCAATCGAATAAAAAGATAAAAAAAATAGTGTGAGACTCACCTACTTGTGTGTCCCACTTCCTCCACCTCACCCTCTCTCCTTTCTATCTCCTCCGACCAGTGTGCCTCTTTCCCCTTCTCCGTCCCCAAATGCGAGCATCAATTGGCGGGAGAGGAGCTGAGCAATGGCGGTTGGCATGAGAGGGCGGCGGACTGGAAACGGTGACAAGCGGTGGGAGAGGGCGGGTAGTTCTAATGGGCGATCGATCGCCCTACCGATCTGGTAGCAATCGGTAGCCCCCCCCTCCTCCCCCTCCCTCCTTCCACCTGGTTTCCTTTTTTGGCACCGCATTACTTGCCTATTTTAGTAAATTTATACACCTCAAGTTTATACACCTCAAGTTTACACATCTAAAGTTTAGAGACCAAAAATTTATAAGTCAAAAGTTTATATATCCGATTCAAATTTGAATTTGAATTCAAATATTTTTTTTATATATAGTATTTCTATACATCTAAAGTTTATACACCTAAAGTTTATAAGTCAAAAGTTTATATATCCGATTCAAATTTGAATTTGAATTCAAATTTTTTCATATATAGTATTTCTATACATCTAAAGTTTATATACCTAGAGTTTATAGACCTAAAGTTTTTATATCCGATTCAAATTTGAAGTCAGGTATATAAACTTTTGATTTATAAACTTTGGGTCTATAAATTTTAGGTGTATAAACTTTAGATATATAGAAATGCTATAAATTAAATTTTAATCGGATATATAAACTTTTGATTTATAAACTTTGGGTCTATAAACTTTAGGTGTATAAATTTACTAAAATAGAAAAGTAATGCGGTGCCAAAAAAGGAAACGTGGAGGGAGGGAGGGGGGCAGGGGTGGTGATCGCTACCCCATCACGGTAGTGATTGATCGCACATTAGTGTTTCCGGGAGAGGGCGGTGGGACTGAGGCGCCTCTCTACTGTAGGCTTGGGTTGGCGGTGGCCCCTCTCTTTCTTCCCCTCTTCTACAGGCTTGGGTCAGCGTGGCATTTCAGCTCTCTCCACTCAGTCTCTTTTTGCGCAAGCAGCGTGATTGGTGGTGGCGGGCGACCTCCGCACCAATGACAAGCAAGTTGGCACGCCCCAACGGCGAGCTCCCCATCCCTACGGCACACCATCGCCTCCTCTCATCCAACTATAGCAACAACGACAACATTGCCACCACGAACATCATGGTAGACCTTGCCC